GTTGGTGTAAGACCTAAACTGGTGGGTTTAATATGTAGATTGATGGGTGTAAGATGCAAAAACAGTGGGTGTAAGACCTAAACTGGTGGGTTTAATTAATATGTAGATTGCTGGGTGTAAGATGCAAAAACAGTGGGTGTAAGACCTAAACTGGTGAGTTTAATATGTAGATTGCTGGGTGTAAGATGCAAAAACAGTGGGTGTAAGACCTAAACTGGTGGGTTTAATTAATATGTAGATTGCTGGGTGTAAGATGCAAAAACAGTGGGTGTAAGACCTAAACTGGTGAGTTTAATATGTAGATTGCTGGATGTAAGATGCAAAAACAGTTGGTGTAAGACCTAAACTGGTGGGTTTAATATGTAGATTGCTGGATGTAAGATGCAAAAACAGTTGGTGTAAGATATGAAACAGTGGGTGTAATATGTAAATTGCTGGGTGCAAGATGTAAACCAGTGGGTGTAAAATGGGAACCAGTGGGAATTAGGTGTAAAATGGGAATTGGTCATTGTAAGATGGTGGGTGTAAGCAGAAAACAGATGGGAGTGTACGTTTTGCATACATTTTGTATAAACATAACAAGTGGGTATAATATGTAAATCGTTGGGTGTAAGATGTAAATTGGTGGGTACAAGATGGGAATTGGTTGGTGTAAGATGTAAACAAATGAGCGTAAGATGGAAATTGTTGGGTGTAAGATGGGAATTGGTCATTGTAAAATGGTGGGTGTAAGCAGAAAACAGATGGGAGTGTTCGTTTTGCGTAAATTTTGTTTTTAGTTACAGGTAGGTGTAAGACAAACTGGTGGGTTTAGTACGTAGATTGCTGGATGTGAGACACAAAAACAGTGGGTGTAAGATGGAAACTGGTGGGTGTAAAGTGTAAACCAGTGGGTGCAAGATGTAAACCATTGGGTGCAAGATGTAAACCAGTGGGTGTAAGATGTAAACCAGTGGGTGTAAGATGGGAACTGGTAGGTGTAAGGTGTAAACCCGTGGGTGCAAGATGTAAACCAGTGGGTGTAAGATTAAACCAGTGGGAATTAGGTGTAAGAGGGAATTGGTGGATGTAAGATAGAAACTGGTTGGTGTAAGATGGGAACTGGTGGGTGTAAGATGTAAACCAGTGGGTTTAAGGTGTGAACCAGTAGGCATAAGATAATATTTCCCATGGTAACTGGATTCAATCAAAATTTAAAAAAAATAATTATCAAATTTATTTTGTGAATCATGAAAATATGACTTTGATGTTTAAAGTGTTAAACATTTAATATATACACAGTCAAGAAATTCCATAAGGTGAAAAGGATTGCAATGCAAATTATCTTGTTTGCATATCAATGTTAAACTAATATAATCTTGCAGGCTAAATCAATATTTAGCTTTTGCAATGGTTGTTGTTTTTAGAGAGTATTTTCATAGTTTATTCCTGTGTACATGTTGCCCGAGCGAAGTGTCTAGACTATGTCTTAAAAATGGGTCGAATTTGAAATAGTGACTTTGTAAAATTAGGCCATAGAAGATGTCCTTGAATGCTCAATTGGCAAATATTTTAGGTGACAAATATTAAACAGATTACAAAATGAAAATTAATAGGACATTTTCACAGTGACTGTATTTTGGGAGAAGTAGTGTATAAGTTATGATAT